CAGCAATGATTTCCGATATGGTAGTGAGCTCTGATTAAGATTAAATCTTGGGTAGAAAAGCAACTCATACCTACAATCAATCAATCATCCTACAATGAGCAAAACCCAACATGAAATTAAAAATAAAAATAAAAAAGACAAAAGGAGGTTTGTGCTACCAGGACTTGGGAGCTAACTAGCTATGCCCTACGCATTTAACATCTGTTCACAGATCACTCCACCAACCAAAACTTTGGCCAGACAAGCCAAGCCTTTTAAATGTACTCAATAGACAAAGACTGGAACTCACATGTTAGAAGAACCAATATAGTTGCAAATAACAACTATCTTCCCAAACCATAGTAAACCCTTGCACTGAATCTTTTGCTCCTAAGTGATATCTCCAAATACTTGCCACTTCTTCACCCGCATATCATATAAAATCAACCCATGGAGACTGGCAACCGCTAAATACATTCCATCCTTGCTTGCTGCAACATGTTGAACCAGCCAATTTTGGGAGATGTAGGAGACCTGGACAAAAATGAAATTTCATCATAAACACTGACACTATACTGAAACCAGAATTCAAATACATTATCAGCCAGGAGATTTAGACACTTAACTGGAAGGTTTAGGTGTAGCATTTTAAGTTCATCATTATCGTCAGACTGCACAACAAGTAACCTGTCTTCACCATAAATAACTTGACAAATGTATGTTGTGCCTGATACACCTCTATTTAGGCAACAGTTTCCAAAAGAAAATGAAAGAATTCTTTCCAAGAATCCTTCTTCAATAGCATAAAGCCTATATCCAAATGCATCCCACTGCATAAGAGAGGTGCCACCCATCAATGGTTCATATTTACAATCCTGGCTTGGCTTAACTACTGGAGAAGAGACAGAACCCAAACCAATTTGATGGATTGTCAACATCAAACGACATCCAGAAACAGACCAAACTGTAAGTCCTCTTAACTTCCACCCAACTGCAAAAGCAGCATCATCAGGTGTCCATGCAATACAACATACACCACCAAGGTCATCCACAGTGTATCTGCAAAATAACAGGATCAAGCCATCGAAATCTTAATGCTTCACAATTAAAACATCACGAAATTTGGATTGACATTTCAAAAACACTAGATGAGGTACACAGACAATAAAGTAACAAATTTAGAGAAGAGCTAGACCCCAATAACTAAAACTCTGAACAGAGAGAGAGAATCCCACCAACACTTACCCCCAGTCAGATAAAGAAACATAACGAATAAGTGATGCTGATTCTGCCAGGTCATATAACTCAACAATTCCTCTTCTGGTACCAACTGCAACGATTTGCTGGTCTGAAGCAATTGAAGTACATACAGAATCACCAGAACCCAACCTTTTCTCAGCCTTAATTGATTCAACTTGCTTTTAAACCTTTCTTGCTCACAGAGCATAAAACTAGATATCCATCAGAATATAGCACTAAAAGTAGCCTCATTTGAATGCAAAGCTCCAGTTGAATTATACCAGATCCTCTGGAGTCTCTATGATTGAAGGCAAAATCTCCTGAAGCCTCCTCTCTAGAAACAACACCATTACCTATAGAATGTGGTGGTGAGATAAATTCACTGCTATCACGTGGAAAGGGGTCAAGTTCAAAAGCTCCACAGAACTGTGCCAAAAAAAAGGTTGGGGGGGTGGGGAATTTATTTACTCATTCTCAGTGTCACCGTTGAAAGCCACTATAAGAACTGATCCTCAAGCATTAGAGAATGGAACATGGTGTATCAAAATAAGACAAAATTGCAATTGTTGAATGTGTTTGGGTTATCTCCCCTTTCCAGGAGATACCATATAAAGACCCATTCAACAGCCCAAGTAGCATATGTTTACTATCACAGATAATATTGCTCCTGAAATAGGGATATTAAAAGAAAATTATAGAGATGATAATAATAGTTGCTACTGAAATAAACATAAAGGGGGAAAAAAAAGGCATTAAAGGAATTAATACTGTTCCAGCATTAACATATATAATTCAGTTATTTACATTTAACAAGAATAATGCCAAATAAATTTCATTGCAGATAATCTGAACTAGTAAAAGGATATACAGATGATCATTTCTTTTACCACAACATGGAGCATCACAAATTGGATATATATCCCACCAATGAACCAATCTAACAGAGAGTTTTCTTTAACATCCTAAAAGGGGAGAGCCTTGAAGTTGAACCTAGGCTTTTGTTATTCCATAAAAGAAGTTCCATGTTCATACCAATACATTAAACCCAGGAATTTAGTTCCTGTCAATTATGCTGTAACAAGACCTTGTTCTATTTGATTTTCCAGATAAGCACCTGATAATATTTTTAGACCACTGGATTTACTACCATAAACTTCCAAAGACAGTTTCATTACAGTTGCATTGAAAACTCAAATCAAATAAAGATTAATGAATTTGCAGTCAGTGAGGTTTGAAGAAGAGAAGGACTGAAGTTCAATAAGTGCACTTACACTGACAAGTCCTTTTCAGTAAAAGGGACTTGCTCATCCAGAACACAAGTTATGGTTGCAAGAAACAGACCAGAGGGTTGCTTCCCTCCTATTTGTATTTTTTTCTCTGTGAACTGGATCTTGAAAATGTGAAGAAAGAGAGATGACGCCTGGAAAACCAACAATAAAAACTAAACGAAATCATATATGTAGTCCATAAACAAGAAACAAACACAGTTAAACCTTTCTCTAAAGCTAAATGTTGGAGGAAAGAAGAAAAGTAAAATCAAATTTGTGTCAGTATTTTGCATGCCTTCATTTACTTCCCCAATTAACATTGAATCGTTTAAGATACTAAACACACATCAAACACATAAAATTGAAGTTTACTTGTTGAAATAAACTTGCAACAATATTAGGACAGCAAAATTTTTCCTCCTATTAGTCATATGATGCCCGCCTCCGATTATTTTAAACATGTACTACTGAAATAAAACCTTATCCATCATTCTTAAAATGGCGTGTAATGACTGTCATTTCACAGTCTTGCAGAAGTGCATCCCTCGTCCCCCCACACAACACACCTAATTTCAATCGCTAGGACATGGACATCAAAGAGCAATGCTGAACCATCAGCCGATTTCCTGCTCTAGATTAACTTAAAATGCCACTCCGGCATCATCCTAATCTCCTAAATGAAAATTTGATTATCACATTATCAACCAAATTTCAGTTAAAAACAACAACAACAACAAAACACAATCAACCAAATTTGATCATTACATGAGAAATGGAACACCAAAACTTACCAGAACGGCGATCAATTTCGCATCAGGACTCCACGCAGCTTACAAATTCTCGCCCTCTCGCTGCACCGAATCCGCATCCCTCATGTATTTCCACAGCCTCACTCTATGCTGCATTGCAACACATTCCTTAAAATCCTAACCTCCAATCATCACATACATATCCATTCACACATATTTCGCAAACGTAAAAGTGTACGTACCTGCGATGAGCTCCAGAGCTCGATATGAGAAGGCGAAACAACGAGCAACAGTCTGCTGATGACTTTCAGGTAAATGATCCGCTGAGAAGACAGACAGGATCCTTGTTCCAGCGGGATCACCTGCGGCCATCCGTACGCCATATACATCTTTCTCCGGCAAGTCCTTAGTCTGAGTTCGAAATTCTTGATCCAGCGGGATCACCTGCAGCGTTTTCGTTGTTTTTAAATTCTTTTTCGACGAGGAGGGACCGCGCAACCGAAAATCACGTTGCACCATTTAAAAAAATAATAATAAAGAATATAGTAACGGGCTGGACTGAGACTCGATATTGACGGCCCATTAGTCTAAAGCCCTTAACTAGATAAACCAGATGGGCTTACTACATTATTTAATTTCTTTTCTTTTCGGCTTGATATTTTGGCCGATCTTTTTTTTTTTTTCTCTCTTTAAAAAAAAAGAGCTATGCAGTCTATAATCCAAATTGAATACTTAAATCATTAAATAAAAGTGAGATTTGTGATATTGGAAATTGTTTATCTATTTAATAATTTATATTTTATAATTTAATACAAAATAAAAAATTATTTTTTAATGGTAAATTTACTCCTCTTTTTTTCTTTTTTTTTTTTGTCTATTTTTCCCTTTACTGTGATGCCGGGAAGTGGGAACCAACCGTGATATTATGGTACAGATAGACTGTTGAAAGTATGTAAGAACAGGGACATGTCCAGATCAGAAATCACAAAAAAATAGAGAAAAGAAAAAAACAAGAAAAGGCAACCACTAAATGTGTCTCTGGCGTTTAATCAAGGGGTCGAAGAAAAGAAGCCCCCGCATTCACTAAACAAAAGCAATGATTAAGGCCCTGACCACGGCCAAGCACGCACGATCACATATAGATAATGAATTGGAGGGGAACATAGACCAGACATCCAATTCCAGGGTGCATGATCAGTTACAATGAAAATCGGGTCCCCATAACAATTTTAGTCCTTGTAGTGATCTAATAAGATTAGAATGATATGAAGAGGATAGATCATTGATTAGAATGATGAGGGGGGGGGGGTGGTTTGGTGAGAGTGACACACAGAGGCAGTTGGGGTCATGGTGTCTTGGATTGAGCGTATGCGTCCAAGACTGCCATTGCAATCAGTTTTGGAGTTTTATTGGTGCACCCTTTTCAGTTTTAGAAAGATGGTCTCCCAATCCAGCCATCATTCTTTGCTGGTTGGAAAGGGTTTTGGCCACCGACGATGTCTGTCCATGTCCCTAATTCTTCTCTTTATGGGGTCAAGCTCCTTTCAACAATTTGTCTCCCACACACTCTTTTTTCTAATTATCTTTCCTCTATATATATATATATATATATATATACATTATTATCATAAATGTCTTTTTCATTCCTCTTCACACTTTAAATTAGTATCATAAAAGATATAAAAATATCCATAATAAATCAGGAGCACGTGAAAATTTATTGATAACGTTTTTATTTTTTGACCATAATTTTTAAATACAATCCACCCTAAAAAAATTATTCTCATATTATACTCCTATTATTCCGTTTTTCATTGCCTAAAATTTTTTCAAGGCATAGTTGTATCTATTTTTTTGTTTTAAATGTTTATATGATTGTATTATGAGAGAGCTGATGCGAGATAAGACAACCGATCAATTTTGATAGGAAAAATTGTGATTTAGTTACTTATAATTTAAGTTAAGTATACATAAAGACTTGAGGTTTTAAAATGTACATATAACATATTTATGGTTTTTGATATGTGCAAATAAAAATTTAAAATATCAAAATATGCATATAAACACTTAAGGTTTCTATTTGGTGTAAATAATCATTTGAAATTTTTTTAAAGTCCCTAACTTAAAAGAATGAAAAGAAATGAAAAATGAAGGTATTTAAGACCATTCCATGTAGTTTCAAGTGGTTATATACACCAAATACAAACCTTAAGTCCTTATTTATACATTTTAAAATTATAGGTTTTTATGTGCTCTTACCTCAAATCATAAGTATATTATATGCATATTTTAAATTTTCAAGTTTTTCTACACACCAACCTTAAACTACAAGTAGCTAAATTATAATTTTTCCATTTTGATATTTTGAGAACAAAAATTAAGCAACTTTGGAAAAGGTTGTGGCGTGCATAAATTGATTATTCATAAATAATGAAATGGGAAGATAGAAATGATCGATGCATATAATGATGTTTGTTCACACTTAACGCACCTAATTTAATTATTTACAAGTTTAATGCGTCTTCAATTTGTACATCCTGGTTGTGGCCTCTTAAAATTTTCCTTGTTTTATAGAGTGGCCCTTGAAAAGGTTTTGGACTCAAATAATTAATGTGCAAGATAAAATATTAAAAATAATGGATATTAATCATTCATTTAATAAGAGATAGCAACTAATTCTTTTGTTGTATTAAAAATAATAATAACACTCGTTTAATTCGATGTATATCAGTTGGATGTATAT